CTCTCCTTATCAGCTTTTTGTCCCTTCTTCAAATCATTGTATTTAAGGCAATGAACAGAAAGAAGTGAAGAGTAATGGTTTTAATTAAGTATAAACTTAACTAAACCAGAGAAACACTGCTGCACTCAGATGGGAGATTTATATTAAACCCATGGTAAATATCTGAAGCATTAAGAAACAGGGGGTCACCTCAGTACCTCTGAGAGCATCTATGCTGTCTGCACGTGCCTTGGAGTGGGGTGAGAGGGGAGGATGGGGGCAGCACTCCTGTACTCCTGCAGGGCTGTTTGGCAGAGGAAATTGAGAGGTCAGAGCCTGGATTTTGCTCACCATTTCCTTCATTGTGAAGCTTCTAACCTAGTCCCTAGGCACTTTATTACAGCTGCATTTGTTGGAGCACCCTCATGTTACACCAATAAGACAAATAAAGGGGCAACCAATGTCACCACCAGCACATTAATTTTTATGGGCCACAGCAGTAGTGGCAGAGTTTTTTACATCTGCAGCCAGCAGGATCTAAAAGGACACCTCTGTTTCCCCTCCTGACTACAACCATTGTGAGCCCTGAGGCAGCAGGAGCCACCACGGAGGGAGGCCAGCGGTGAGCAGTGGGTTACACAAACAGCTCTGTGACCTGCTGAGGAGGGCAGCGGGGAGGGCAACACCAGCTTCTGCTCCAATCAGACATCTGCCCAATTTTATTCTTGCTCTGTACATACAGCAGCATAGCTGCTCTGGAAATCCAGACCTGGCCTCCTGCCTGTCATTCAAGCACTTTAATTTGTACTCAAGATGGGAAAGTAAACAACATGTCTGTGAGATAACATCAATGTCCTGTCATCTACTGACTGCACCTCTGCTTTGAGTTCTTACTCCTGGTCTTGTATATATCACTTCTATGTATGTACCACATACTTTTTGTCACTGTAAAATGATCTGTGAAATCTGATTAGAGCAATTCTCATTTTGTAAGAGGAAAAGCAGGGAACTCCAAAAAAATCTCCTGTGGTGTGACTTCCAAGAAGAAAGCAGAGACTGGAAAAGGCAACAGCAAGAGAAACAGAAAAAAAAGAGACAACCATAAAGCTTCTACAGAAGTAGGAATAGCAGAGAGAAACTTTGGGGAAATTTTAGTTTTTCCTTTGTCCTTTTGTGAGAGGTCTCTCTCCCTTAAATCCATCCCATATTAACTATGACATCTACTGAAAAATCAAGAATGCAAAACGTAATACTGCATACAATGCAAGAATGACCAGAGAACACACCTAAACAATTCTCTCAGAAAACACCAGAGTGCACTACTGCATAGCTGTCCTCAACTCAGAGTGTTGCTCTAAACTTTATCCAGTTGGCCTTGAAAAGCTCCACAGATGGAGATTCCAGAGCAGGTCTGAGGAATCCATTCCTATGTTTATCCTCCTTAATCCTCCCTTTCACTAAATCAGAACCTTAAACAATTAATCAATTTCTTAATCACTTAATCAATTTTTGACCAGGATCTTGTCTTCTCCTATCACACACACCAGTGAAGAGCCTGGCTCTGTATTCTCTATAGCTTTCTCATATGGATTGAGGGTTGGCTATTAAGTTCCCTCCCCAAGTCTTCAGGCTGAACAAAACCCATTCCTTGGCTTTTTCTCACATGACGGTGCTCCAGTCCTGACCATCTTGATAGCTCTCCATTAGGCTTGCTCCAGTCTTTTTTGGATCTTAACTAAGTGTGTCAAATACAAATCCTTGCATACACAGGTTCTCCAAATGCTTGATTTTGCTTTTTGTTCATTATCAAAGTAGCAAGCACTTGGGATGCTTCCCTGGAAACCTAAACATGAGGATTCTGAGGCAGGTGGATACCTCACACTGCACTGAATTATCACCAGAAGTAGCAGGCCTGGGTATCAATGGTCTCCCCATCTGCAGGAACCCAGACAAGCTTTTTTACCTGCTGCTCCTCTGCCAGGAAAATAAATACAAATTCCACCTCCACTTGGATGGATTTCCTGAGGCACTTACATATACAGGATTAACTACTTCACCTAAAAGGAATGAAACAGCAAGTTTCATTCATTCTTTCATGAGGTACTCCAAAATTGCACTAAACTCACCACAAACACTTCTCAATTCATCCTTTCATTAATGAATTGCACTTTCATACTTGTCAGGAAACTGAAATGTCACTGCTTCTGGTGCTAAACACAATTAAATGGTGATGTAGCCAATACAGTCACAGTGCTGTTACACTGAAGTGGGGTATTTCAGTTAACATCCAATTTTTAAACATTTTGAAAGCAAGATCATTATATTTAAGTACTTGCTGAGGGCTGCATAGTGTTGCCTAATGAAATGCAACCCACGGCATGCACCACCTTCACCTCTTTCTAAAATGTGGTGCTTAACTATGGTCCTGAGTATGTTATAAAAAGCATTTTGTTAAAGGGAGGCCTTTGGTGCAAGACTTTGATTTCTGATTTCAACAGTGAAACTTGAGGTGGTCATTCCAGGCAGCACAGTACAGGGAGCACAGCCCTGATCTACCGAAATGAGACACAAGCTCCCTGGGAAACAGCGTGCTGGCGTGTGACACCTGGCCTCTGCTGAGCAGAATCAGTGACAAATTTTAGACTATATCAACAGTTCTACAAAGTTCAGACAACTCTGCTGCCTCCTGAGCTCACTGTGTGCACAAAGAGATGACAGCATGAAGGGGAAAATGTTCTTTTGGTGAACAGATGAAACTTCTTCTCCCACTAACTGTACGGTGGGTGACTGATTGCCCCGGATTACTCCCAATGCAAGACACTATTTATGAGGTCATTCGTGCTGTGGATACCACTGCAAAATACTCCCTCTGCAGAGTGGATTTTGCATCATACGTAACAGGAGTTTAAAAATATTTAAAAGCACACCTCAAGAAAATCCTCAACTTCCCCTTAACATTGCAAACAGTTCCCTAATATCACTTGGATGCATTGTTCAAGTTTGCAAATCAGACAATTATATTAATTTCTATGACAGAATTAGGTGAGTAGGTGATCTACAACATTTTTTACTCACAGCACAAGAGCCTGACAATGCTAACTGAGATCACAAGTGAAAATTAACCACACTGGATTCATGGCAGAGAAGAATACAGCTTACACATTTTATCTGCATTCAAATTATATTTCTGCCTCGTACATACAACCTTCTGCTCTGATCCTGTGTTCATGACGTGCTAGTCTTTTCCATATATATCAAAAGGTTAGATGAATGAAATAGATTTCAAGTTTTTTGGTACAAGACAAAGTTTAATGATCTGGAATTTTGTAGTGAAAATTACAAATCTGTGAGCAAAGCTGGAGAAGTACTTCAGTCAACAATACCTTGCAGAAAGGTTGCAAGGCAAACACAGAGCACTATTAAATTCTACAGTATGAAGAATTTCCAGTTACATCCCTGCTGTGAAACTCACTTGGGAACAAAAGGGATTATTGTTAAATAATAATCTGAACATGACTGTGTTGTAATATGACAACAGGCCATTAGATCTTGTTTTGTGTTTTGAGGAGATTTAGGCAAGTGCCCAAATTGCCAGGTAAGTTACTTTTCAGAATATCTACTGAAACCAAACATTAATAGTACCACTAACAGGTCCTGGTTAGATGCATCACTGGTGAACACTGTTCATCTGCTATGTTCAGAAATATATTATTACAATACTCTCTTATTTCTACAGGTTTTTTTTCCTGCTGGCTGAAACTCATTATTGTAGTATATACCTCATAACATTGAAAGTATTAATATTCATGCAAACTTGTTCAGTGGGAAAGCAATGACTCAGACCTGTAATTTCTCTTACACATCCTACCAACAATCTCTTAAGAAACAAGTGTCAAATACTGTGACTTTATACAAACAGCACCAGTTAAAATTTCAAGAAAGCACACCAAGTACCTTTTCAAAAAATCTTATTTTTATTGTTTGCACTAACTGTATTAACAGCTTTCATCTCTAACAAACTGAAGCAAGCCAGTACACACAAAAACCTATGCAAGGTGAAGCAGATCCTAGGTTACATAAATGCAGTACACCTTGGTGTGTAACAAGCCCAAGGGCAGTTAGTTCATCCTAACACTTTAAACACAGTCACTCCAGTTTTGTGAATTTTTCAGAGCTGTTAAAAAGTTTCATTTTTTCTTTAAAAAGGAAACAGCTACAATATTTATAGACATTACTGATTTTTAACCAAAATTCTTATGTCTAAATTATTACAATGCAGCAAGGACCCCTCTTCAGCTGTAATACCATTGCTCTGCAAAACAAAACAAAACAAAACAAAACAAAAAAACAAAAAAAACAAACAAACAAAAAAAAAAAAGAAAAAAGAAAAAAAGAGAGAAAATTAGTCACTTTGCTGTATTAGGCATAAATTATCATTAGCAGCCTAAACACTTGCCAGCTCACACTGCATACATTCCCATTTCTTTCAAGTTTGCCAGGTCCACTTATCAGCTCCTGGCTTTCTGTCTGAGCTGGAACAGAAGTGGATACAAAACAAATCACTTCTGCAATAAAGGGCTTTGCCTTTTTAAATGCTGGCTGAAAATCTGAGACTCACCAAACAAGTGCCTGCATGGGATCCCCTATTGCCTCTACAGTAACAGACTCGCAAACCAAGACAGTCCACTTGGGTCTTCTGCAAGGGATTTATGAACTAATGTTTTAGATTAAAGTATTTCATTATTAACCAGCAGTTTTGATGAATAAGCTTTATTCCCTCAGTCTCTGAATGCAGTTTGTTCTAACTGATGCATTTGGCTGGATCTGATGCATTTGCTTTTTATCTTGCTTCCCTAGCGTAAATCCAGAAGGCAGCACAAGAGGAAAGGAGTGACAGAAGGCAAAAATTAGCTCAACTCGAACAGTTAGAACTGAAATACTGTAGGATTAACAACAGATAGGGCAAACATCTCAGTACATACTGAAGACCTCACAGGAGGCTGTATGGGAGTCCTGAACCAATATGGATCACTGGAAATTTAAGCTGTCCAGCCCCTCAAAAGCTTTGTAATGTTAGATTTTAGCAAGCGAGCTTAGCACCTCCCTGTACACATCCTGGAGACCCCAAAATAAAAAAAAAATGTAGAACAGAATCACTCTTAGGTATATTCTACTGTGCTTTCAGATTAGTTTTACCTGAAGCAAATCCTTAACCCCTAAGGATGCCAATGATGTAGGAGCAGACACCATGCAGAGATTCCCAGCAGTGTTCCCGTGCCAGTTTCATTGCTTCTGTTTCATTTTCAGACCCTTGACCGTGTTGGGTTAGGTCAGAGTTTTGCCCTGCTTCTCCCATAGGAATGGAAGCTTTCTGGACTGATTTTTCCTGGTCTGCTAGATCTTCTGGCTCCACACCAGCAGCTATTTGCCTCATGAGAGCCTCTGGGGGAGCCTTTTGGCACATGGTGGTCTTCAACACTTCCATGGATTCACAAGCATGCGGGATCTTTCTGAGCTCTGCGGCAATCTGATTCCAGTAAATCTTTGGATTATTTCTGAAAGCACGACAGACTGATGGCTTGCCAGTGAATTCACACCAGTAGGACAAGCCTTGGCTTTTGCATTCAATTCTAAGTTTCATCTCCTCGTCGTCGCCACTCATGGTTATTGTGCAAACATCTTTGGTTTTAGTCCGAAATTTGATTTCTTCACCGTTGCTTCTTTTCTTTGGCTTCAGCTTCTGTCCCAGTCCTCCCATGCCACAGATGACAACGAGGAAAAGGAGAGCAAAACTCTTCATGGTGAGAGGAGTGAACTGAGATCCTTGAACAGCGCGATCCAAAGAAGCAGTAAGTAAATGGCTGCTCAGGCTGCTCACAATTTAAACTCTTTGCGCACAAAGAAGCCTCTTTCCAGCTAAACACGGGATGTAAGGGTTGGGCATTTTTATAAAAATAATAAATCACACTTCAGTAGGCAAATGCCCATAATTTATAGCCTGAGGGAGTGTCGAATAACCTAGGGAGTGTGAACTCCCAAGAAGGTAACAAGACAAGTCTTGTAAATGCAGTTAAAATACAGAACGATAGTTGTATAACTGTGAAGCACATTCCTATCCAGGATGAACATGTCATATTGGATTTTTAACAGATATTTTCCCTTCTCCAGCTGCTTTATAGCTATCTTCATGCTAGAGCTTGTAAGATGATATCAAAGTAAAAAAAGTACCAAAGCAATCTCTGCATCTGGATGATTATAAATGTCCTGGTAGTGTAAGTGTCCTGATAAAAAGCTGATTTGTGGAATAGGCTATCTGTGGATTTTCACAGTAAGGATGCAACTTCAGCTCTTCCTTTTGTCCACACATGACATGCAGTGGGGATGCAAGGAAGAATCAACAGCACATTCTTTGAGCCATGTATGTACACAAAATAAATAAAGCTTAAGCAAAATAAGGTATCACAGGTCTAAAAACATACCAAACATCTGCAAGTTTTATCACCATTTCCACATCACCAGTCCCTTTCAGCCAAGAGAGCAACACAGCAGAACTAACTTACCACAGTTCTCAGCAGCAGGGAACAGACGACAGAGCACATCAGACAGGTATTTGCACTTCATCACTTTCTTTTTTTAAATAGATATTTTCCTGTTTGTAACAAGTGAGCTGTAAAAATGCTGTAAAACAAAGGCAGGAGAACAGAAATATTGTGGTGCAGAGTCCTGTCCTGCCGCAGTTTCTGCTGCACTAACTAAAAACAGAGCTAAGGAAAATTCACTGTAACTCCCCTAGCATTCAGAAGGTCATGAGGAAAAATCCCTCCCCTGCTGTGGCAATCCATGGTGCTTTTCTGGCTAGTAAGACCCCCACTAAACACTTCTTCCAAAGTCATATACGCTACAGCCAGCCTGACCTGACCAGCTCCTGGAAAGGGCTACTGGATTGTTTATGTATGCTTCAGTAACTGTGGGGGGCTGGAAACCCTGGGTTTAAGACTGGCCATACATAACGGAGCAGAACAGCAGTTTGTGTATTTAGTCAATCACTAGGTAGTGCTAAACAAAATACCAAGGCAAAACCATTCCTTTTAACACAGATGACAAAGCAGAACATCATCAACAACAACAAAAGATTCGCTAATACAAGAGGGACAAGAGTTCCTTGCTGTGTGGCAGCCCAGATAACCTGAAAGCTTCCTGCTTGAAGAAGCAGCCACCTGAACAGGATACCATTCTGGGTATCCTAACCTTGTCCTTTCAGTCAGTGTGCCATCAGGTTCCCATGACTAAATACCATTTGACAGAGAGAACAACCTCGTTTTCTTTTCACTCCCTCTCCATGGCTATTTTAGTAACATTTTTCGCAGAAACTTCATCTCTAGCTTCATTCCATTAGTTCCTCCTCTCTCTTTCCAGGCACAGTGGTGTGGCTCCAGCCAAGTACTAGGACAACAATGGCATAAGTGTACTTAAGACCTACCATTCACTCTTTGTTTTCTGGGGAGTCTTCTCACCCGACAGCCAGCCAGAAGAATCTTGTTACCCACCTCAAAACCCTACTGCAAGCACTTGAATACCTCCTAATCTTTAACAAAAAATGTATTGTTTACACTTTGTTATGCATAACAGCACTGAGAATTTTTAGATTTGCTGAAGAGTCCAAAACAATTCAAAAGTTAATTTATACCAGTTTCAGATCTCTTGTTCTCAAAGTTTTTCAAGCCTAATCATGAGAACAAATAAACCACAAGGATAAGGAGAAATATCAAGGCTTGGACTCAAATATATTTATGTGTTAGCTACTGTGTTCCCACCAAGTGTTTGGATCATTCTAATCTGACATTTCAGTCCTGTCTTCCTGTGCTTCAGATAAAACAGTTTGTGGTCTCCCATATCAGTAGAAAACAATTATCCTTTTACAAGGTAAGCTAGGATGCCACCAGTGAACCATGGGAGCTGAAGAACTAGCAAATGTTTAATTCTGCTGCCAGTGCTGTACAGAAACAGGTATCCTGCACAGCTCATAGCTTGAATCCTACCATGTTTGCAAAATTCACATTCTTGGTGGAAGTTGGAAGCTCCCTCACCCAGAGTCAAAGTTCTTTCAGCCCTTCCTGCTGCAAAAGTAAAAGTCAAATGTAGCAAAGATTTTTAATCAGGGTGAAGAAATTCATTCTCATAAGATTTTAACTCTGTGCAACTCTTCTGAGAGATGTCTCCACAACAAAACAGGGGAGAACCAAACATAAGGTAGTTAAGCAAGATATTTTTTATTTAAATGAACTGGGAATATTTTCTCAAATTAAAAATAGAAACTTTTAAAAATCTGGAATTCTGAACATTACATATACACATATGCTACATACTGTCAATTAGAAATGTTTCCATCTATGACATAAAAATGAAAAATTTAAGGTTATTCTGGATTAAAGACTGGTATCATTTTTCAGCATTTCTTTATAATAATGATGTACAGGATTATCTCTACTTCAAGACAATGAACCCTGTTTGAAACAAAGTTAACAATACTGATAGATGAAGAGATACTATTTTAGATCAATATATTGACTACTTCACCTGCCAGGTTTTACACTGGTAACAGAGTTTTGGCCTTGTTGATAAGGTCTACTGTTAACTAATTCAGCAGTTCAACCACAAGCCTACGTTCGGTGAAATAACTCTAACAGTACAAATGTTAACTCCAATTGCTAAACAGATTTGAATTTCCATATTGTAAATCACAGTATAGTATTATTTAGCAAAAATACTACCACTGCCTCCAAAAGAGCCACAGTGATACTATTAAGGACATTACAGAAGTGGGTGTGAAAGAAGAAAAGGAAGATAGAGAATATAAAGCATTCCAAAAATTGCCAACATAGGACATCCCTCATGCTCTTTTTGAGTACTACTGAACCCTAGAAAGCTTAGCCTTTTCACTATATTATGCATCCTGCACACCCCCAACCCTCCCACCCCAAGTTTTTAAAAACAAACTTCTCCAAAGAGTCCCTTTCAGGTCTATACAGCAAAACCCACTAAACATTAAATAATTAAGAAAAAAAAAAAAAAAAGAAAAAAAAAAGGAGAAAGAAAACAAAACTGCAGCTGAGCTTCTCAGACACACAAAGAGACACTGTGGACCCCATTACAATCCAAATTTAGTCCAATGTAGTCAATCAAGAGCACCAAATAGCAACACTGATCATGCTGGTAAATTCATTTGTGAAGAGTATTATACAATATTAAAATCTTAACTAAACACTTAGAAGTTTTAAGAAAAATGTATATACAAAAGTCTCTGGTATACAAAATGTATTTTTATGTAAACATGTATGTACTGTATTTAACACAAATCAACAATTTAAGATAAGAACTTGAACAATTTTAAGAGAATTGCCAGGCAAAGGCTGTTAATCTAATTAATTTATATACTGTGATGTAAGGTAGAAAGCCCAGTGTAAAAAAGTAAAAAACCAAAAAAACATTTTAATCCAAGCCTTGAACAGTGGTATTTGAGAGGCAGTGCCCTGATCACAAAATATTCTGTACAGTAGTTTATGGCATAACATTCAATAGTTCATTTGGGATTTACAGTACAGCTGACATGAAACAAGTGGCTCAGGATCTGTCAGATGATTGGAAATGCCAACACGCTTGGAAGAACAATGATGTACTCCCATAGAAGAGTCTTGAGCCTCATTTGTATAGCCTGTAAATAATAACAAAAAACAATTCAGGAAAAAATTTATAAAGACTGAATTTTCATGTAATTTAAACGGAGTGAAGGGATAGATTTTAATACAAACATCAAGACGACTGAATAACTTTTTTTAGTTTTAGACCTCACAGCATACTCCTGTTGCAGCAATCAGAGCAGCCTTCCTAAAGCAGTAAAGTAGTAATAGGTCTAGAATTGATTTAAGTTTATTACTTACCCCTCAATATTTCCAGTATGTGTTACCACTGTTCCACAGAGCTACACGAGAAAAACAAGAAAAAAACATAAAATAAACCCATCATTTTTTTTTGTCCACAAATGGAAGAGAAATACTGTGTCTAACTTAGGTGAGACAAGCTCACGACTAGTAATGCTTTACTCATTTAATCAAGTATTTTTCAAACAAGAGGAAATAGATTCATGGTTTTCTCCATCAACCTTTCAGGTTATTTTTGCTTCATTAAAGAAATAAATACTTGGATCGCCTATTCAACACCCCTCTTTTGTGAATTTAATCCAGCCTCACTTTTTGCTCTAACAAAAAATGGTGGCTGCATTTGAGCCTATTTGTGTCTTTGCCATGTATATAAAAATAGCTGTGTGAGACATGTACACCTCATGTAGTTCTTACTTGTACTTACATATCTTAGTGTTATAACAACATTTGCATCTCTTTTCAGCAAAATTATCCAGCTGATTTTGAAGGATAAAAAAACCCCAAGCCCAACCCTATGGCATTCTTTAAACCTGCAAAAGTATAAGTGTGCAGAGATCTAATCAAAGTAACATCTCTCAAAGTATATCCAAAAATAATTTGTAGGAAATGAGAAAAATCAAGGATAGCATAAAAGCAAAGAGTATGCTGAAATTTGATTTTATTCATATGGGAATGCCATACTGAGAAATTCAAAGCATGTATGCCATAATTAGCAGTTTTTTAAATTACCTCAAATTAGCACATCAGAAGACAGCACTGCATCAAAATGAATCTTTAAATTTTAGCATTTTATCATAATAAGTCAGAACTGAACTAGTGGATCTTTGTGTAAAGGATTATTTTATGCTAATAATTTTTAGGT